GTGGATTCCTATTTCTGACTGACAAATGAAGCCTTAGGCTTGTGAGGGCCCTGGATGACACCACTGCCAGCAGCCTGCAGAGAGAGTTCTCTTTGGCTGTAGAGGAGATAAATCATAGGAAGGAAACTCATTTCCAAACAGGAGTCATATGTGAAAGACTCTTTTCCTCTGAACAAGAAAATTGGTCAGCCAGGTTGAAGCATCTAAGGATACAAGGTTTTAATTTGAACACTAGGAGCTGCTTCCTTCTCTTTCACTGCTGTTGTTTTCCCCCCCTGCTAAGAGGGTAATATAAAACTCACCTTTGTGATTTGAGGGAGCAAAAGTTAATTGTAGCAACTGAATGTGAATGATTATCTGAATCTATTATGTTAATATGTTTATTGTTTTTATGCTCATCTGCCTTTCTTTTTTACAGCTCAGGAAATCAAATAAAAATTTCCATGTCAGGTTTTTCAGCTTCATAGTTTCATCCATTTTTGTATGGTTTTCAGTGGGATTCCATTTTAAAAAACACACAAAAAAACTCCAAAACAAAACAAAACAAATAAACCCACAAAAAGCTAGACTGGCTGGGGATACCAAGAATGGTACACTGCAACACTGAAAATTAAAAAAAAATAAAATTTCTAATTCACCAGGGAAATATTCTTTAAGATCTCTTCTTTAATTACATAGGATACATCAAGGCCAGGTTCAGAGTCTGTCTTCATTTATTGGATCACTCAATGTGCCAAAACAGTAGGATATGACTTTGGAGCTACTCCTTCACAAGAAACAGTTATTTGGCAAACAGCATATCCAGACATTTTCCCACTGCACTGGTGCCATAGACACTTAACAGCATGTTCTGCTCTCCAGAACATTAAGTTTTGCTATCTCTCCTGAATATCAGTTTTCATTTGGGGAATGCAAGTCCCTAGTGTGTGCCTTTTCATCCAAAGTAAAGTTATTTCCCTGTTATGTTCCTTTTATTTGAGAATATAGACACCGATGGTTATTTTTTCTCCCACTACATATAATCCTTATACTGAAAAAATATTAAAAAAAAAAATCTAGGAAAAGTATGGAAAAGCCCATGCTTTATTTCTGTATAGTTTTTCTGAAAGATATATTTGTTTTGTAGCTATTGATAGAAAATCATGTTTGTAAAGAGATAATTGAAGACGTTACCTACTCATAAGCCAAAAATCATTCCAAATGGCAGTAAAGTAACAGGCCAAATGACTATTTTTATGAGTCAAATAAGTGTTTTTTACTTCATAATAGCCAATTCTGTTATTATCCTAAGATAATAATGATGTTTTACAGAGAAATGAACTAAAAACAATATCCACTTTTTTAAACTGCTAGCTCAGGTTGAATATCCTGAAATAAACATTAAATTGAAATAGCAGAGCCATGATGGTAATTCAGAAAAAAATCTTATTTCTTTCTAAAATCTGGAAAGGCCTGTCTATCTTGCAGTGCCTGTGGAGTTCTAGTTCTAGCTGTGGGATAAATGGTGCTCTCCAAAGTCCCAGCTCCCAGATATTCATCCTGTCACTGGGTAACTTCACCAGAGCCCTGCCTATCAACATAGGTGCTCCTTCAGGTGAGCATAGAGGAACTTGCTGCTTCCTGGATGGGATATATCTGGGAAATAAGAGCCTGAGGCTCTCTCACCCAGCAGTTCAGACACAGCCCTAGAGTCCAAAACATGAAATACACTGGAGCAGGACTCTAAGGTGGTCCCTGCACAGCACTCCCACGCTCACCTTCATAAAACTACAGCATAAGGACCAAATAGGACAACTTTATTTTTATTTTCTTGTGGTTTTCTCCTTCTTTTTTTGTTGGTCTTGCTAAGAGTGCAGTTACTGCACATGATCATCCTGTTTTAAGCTCTGGTATTTAACTCACAGATCACAAATAGACCAATATTTCATCTGAAACAGAAAAATATCCTGGATGGTATGATGAAAAGAGTAGTTTCAAATTAATGTTACAATAATCAATAAAAATAAGGGAGAGCCAGTATGTGACTAGAGTCATGGATGTGAGAAAGTAGAGACCTACAGTCTGGCCTAGCAGTGATAATTTTTGCAAATTAATTTATTTAGGGGGAGGCATGTCTATATTCTTCATGCTTCATTATACTGGCAAGCACATGACCTACCACTGTAATTTGCAAGTGAGCATGATGTCATTTTAATGAAACATCAAAAAGGGCAATTCAGAAGGAAATGCCTACTATAAAAGAGCTATTAAATAATACTTAGCAATTATGGAGTGATTTTCTACTTCAAAGCCCTTCACAAACAGTTACTAATGAATTTGCATAACCTCCCTGTGAAGAGGAGGAGGAGGAGGAGGAGAAGGAGGAGGAAGGGGGGCAGTGGGGGGAATGAAAGCAGAAACACAGAGCACAGAAACAACTTGCCCACGACTGCAGATGCCATGAGCATCAAAGCCCAGATCAGAACCTGGAACCTGATGACCATCAGGCTACATCATTACATCAGGCTCTCAGCCTAGTAGGGGCCTTTAAAAAGTCCTTAATTCCTTTAAATAAAGGCTAGTATTGATAACTCAGCCTCAACTACACAAAGTCAGTTCCTAGTCATAGTTATTTTCTTGTCTTTGCACAAGGCTGTTCAGACTAGGATCTAACATGGTGTCACCCCACAACTCACAAGACTGCATACTCAGGTCTTCTTACAGAAGAGTGCCAAAGAAAAGGGGACACACCATGGCCTCATCCTGGTAGACAGTCAAAATGCACTTATATGTCCATTGAAACCCAGAACTCTGGAAATACTCTTATTTACCCCAGTTTAGAAATCTTCCTCATAACACGCCCCCACCCTGTCCCCACAGGTGTCTGCAGCACAGTAAAAGAATGAATGTTGTAGCTGTTTGAATCTCCTATGGTCTCACAGAATCACAAAATAAGTCATGATGGAAGAGATCACATCATGGGGCCATCTGGTCCAACCTCTCTGATCAAGCAAAGTCATCTCAGAACACATGGCACAGGATTGCAGCCAGGTGGTTCTTCAATATCTCCAGTGAGGGGGAGTCCACACCCTCTCTGGGTGACCTGTTCCAGTGCTCAGCTGCCCACACAAGAAAGAAGTTCTTCCTTGTGTTCTGGTGCATCAGTTTCCACCCATTGCCTCTTGTCCTTTTGCTTGTCACCACCAGTATTGGATCACCAAGCAGAGCCTGGCTCCATCCTCTTGACACACTTCCTTCAGATGTTATAGACATTGAAGAGGTTCTATCTCAGTCACCTCTTCTCAGGGCTGTAGAGGCACTGGTCCCTCAGGTTTTCCTGAAAAGAGAGATGCTCCAATCCCCCAGTCATTTTTGTTGCCCTCCTCTGGACCAGCTCCAGGAGCTCTCCCTTGCCTCAGGAGCCCAGAACTGGCCACAGCACTCCAGATGTGCCTCAGCAGGGCTGAGCAGAGGGGCAGGATCACCTCCCTGCTGGCAATGCTCTTCCTAATGCCCCCCAGGATCCCATTGGCCTTCTTGGCCACCAGGGCAGACGGCTGGCTCACGGCTTCATGGCTCATGGACAACAGATGGTTGTCCACCAGCAACCCCAGATCATTCTCATAGAGCTGCTCTCAAGCAGGTGAGCCCCCAGTGTATAATTGGTGTAGAGGGCTGTTCTTCCCCTCTGCAGGATTCTGCATTTGCCTTTGCTGAACTTCAGGCAGTTCTTCCCTGCCCATCTCTCCACCCTGCTGAGGTCCATCTGAAGGGCTGCACAGCACTCAGGGGTATTGGCCACCTCTCAGAGATTTGTGTCTACTGAACGTGTGGAAGAGGCATCTCCCCTTCATCCAAGTCATCAATGAATAAGTCATCCCACACTGGGCCCAGTAGTGAACCCTGGGGAACAAGTGACAGGTCCCCACTGATTACAATCCTCTGGGATCTGCCAATCAGTCAATTCTTAATCCACCTCATTATCCACTCATCCACTCCGGACTTCCTGAGTTTGCCTATGAGGACATTGTGAGAGACAGTATCAAAAGCCTTGCTGAAATCTCAGATTTTTTTTAAGTCACTAGTTAGCAAAAATGCAGTCCACCATATCCACAGAGTTTTTCCTCTTTAGTTTAATAACAAAACATTAGTGTTTGGCAACCCTCACTGCCATGTAATTTGCCATGTCATTTGACATACATGTAGTGATTGGTTGACATTCCCTACCCTAATGGTAGTGGCTGCTCTTAAAATCTCAAACCAGCACTACTTGCAATGATTGTGTTCATTTTCTTTGCCCACAACAGAAGAAAACATATCTATTTTGAAAAAGTTTTCCCATTGTGTTATTTTTCCCATAAGTGGTATATTATTTTTCCAAACTTAGGTGTATACATTTTTCAAACTATGTGTATATATAAACATTCTGATTCAGGTTAATCTATATATCCCAATCTTGAGAATACAAGACAATATGTCACCCTTGACAATACTTTTAATAATTCATAACCCTATACTTGGGAATATATTTTACAAAAAACATTTGAACACAGGTGTTGCGTTAAACAAATAGTTGATGAAGTTTCTGAAGTTCTGTAGATTAGCCAAATAACAAGATTTTCTGTCTATCTTAGCTTATCTTTCTGTTTCTTTCTAAAAATCTTGAGATCCGGTTCTACATGAAAAAAAAGCCCTCTTTATTTGGACAGTTCACTGTGGAAAAGAAGCAACCCCAAAATTATTAACTGAAATTCAGTCCAAACATTTTTGAGGGCCCATAAGTCTGGATCTCACTGAAAACCTGCAGATATTTCTATACATTAGTCATCATTTTGCTTTCATGCATTTTCCTTGCACAGTGGTGAAGGGGAATATGCTCAGGACATGATTTCCAGTAACAGCCACCAGTGTTCCATGTGGCCACCCAAAACAGCAACTGAGATAGATGGTGTAGAAATACTTAATACAGACTACTTCTGATAGATATATATAAACAAGTCTATAAATTTCAATTTAAACTTGAGATCCTTTCCTTTCTCCTCCCTACTAAGAGTTTAGATACATTTGAAAGCATTGTTTTATTACAAGTTTGTGAACTGTAGAATTTTAGACAGACTATATTTATGCTGGAAAGATTTTAATCTTATTTAAATATGATCATCATAAAGGTGTTGCAGGAGGACTACCTGAAATTAAGTGTGCTTATTTAATTGAAGGATACGTCGCACTGGTTTAATAATTATTCGTCACTGGGAAAGATCTGCCATTCTTTGGATCAGATGTGATAAAGGTACAGGTGGACTGTATTTTAACACACATTTTTGCGTTATTGTGTGGGGTATTTGGACCATATATGTACCAGAGAAGTATTAAATAATGAGTATTTAATAACTCACCCATTAGCTGTCTCCTTACAAGAAAAATGTCAGTTAAATGGATGGGAGTAACGTATTTTAAGTAGTTTTGGAAATATGTTCAGTGTGAATGGATCCTTAACTGTTATTAGCTTTCCCTAAAATTTGTATTTGTTTCAGTGAAATCTAAACTGGAAAGTCCTGGAGCAGCTCAGTGCCTCATCTGCCTCTCCAGTTGTACCCTTCCAGGCTGCTGGAATTCATCTTTCCTCCTGGAACCTCAAATAAAAAAGCCACTGAGGACTCACAGCATGACTCCACAATGAAATATTTCACTTAGGTTAGAACATCTGGGGAGAGTTTGGGGAGAGCATCAGGTCTGGAACTATGTATTTGAAACAAAATAATTGTGCTTGGCACTTTTGGTCTTGATCTAAACTTTTGCTTTCTGCCAGCTGGGTAAATTCATTCATGGCCGGGTTGCACTGTGGCGTCTGTGGTTTGCAGATTTATGTTCTTGTCCATCACTCCTCATTGACACACCCTGTATTGTCTTCTTCTCTTGGAAGATGTCTGTGTAGCTAAGGGGTTTTATAGGCTTGAAAGCATTCTGAAATGCAGCCTTTATTTTCATAATGTAACATTTACATGCAGTAGCTACTATTAATTGTTATTTATTCTAAACTTTTTCAGACTCTGAACCATCCATGCAACTTCCAAATTTTATCAGTTTCCTATTACTATATTTTCTAAAACTTCTTAAAATCAAGACATATTTTTTCTGATTCTCTTGATTAGACTCTTTCCATTTTCTCAAAATCTTGTTTCCTAAAAGTGAATTATAAATCGAGAGCTTTTGGGTTATATGCCATTTTAACTATTTTTAATGTGGTTGTAACAAACACACCAGAGACAATAATCTGGGAGGAATGTAGAAAAGAAAACAACTGATTCTAATTTTCCTTTTCCTTAACTGGGTTTTGCAACACTAGAATGCATTTCCCTTTGTTTTTCAGAGCTGGGTATCTGTATAAACATAATAGGAACATGGTGACTTATCTATTAATTGACTAGTGAACGTGATGGTTGAAAGGAACAGTCAAAATAAATACATCTATCAAATTCTAGATCCTCAAAGGCATTGAGAACTATATGAATTAGACTTTAAATCTTTTGAAGACCTAGGGAAAAATGGTATAAATAATATGACTCTAAATTAAACTAATACACGATTAACCAAAATTCAAAATTCCCTTACACTGTAAATGTATACAGTTGTATTAATAGTTTGCTAAAAGCAGACTATTTGAGAAATCATAGACTTTTGGCACCATAGGATTAATATCAACCATTTCCCTCTATTGACCTTTGCAAGATTACTTCCATTTTACTCTAGTAAGAAAAAAAAAAATAATTTCCCCTTACAAGAAGGTTATCATTGTGATGAGACCATCCCATTCTGTTTGGTCACAGCTTATAGGACACCCACATCACACAAACTTCTATTGCACATGATATTTTCCATTGTTTTGCAGAAAACAAACGTGAGTACATTTGTAGCAGACATTTGTCCTTGATGAAAATACACTGAACTCATCAATGAAAAGTAAATATTCATCACTGAACCAATTTATGTTAGACAGCATTTATAGTCAACAGAATGGAAGAAGCATTTGCAGGGTGGGATTTACCTCATTCCAATGACTCATATGAATCTCATTGCAGGCATCTGGAATTAGACCATGTGTATCCCAACCTCAGAGTCACCAGGCTATGGTCTTCTTTGGATCAGGACCATCTGCAGGAAAGTCTCTCTTATGACTGTAAAACTATGAGACTTCACAACCGTGAACATTTAAGAGCAGCTGCAGGGAATGAAAGCAGTGTTGCAGATAACTCATGTACACCACTGGCAATATTTTTTATTCAACATCTATATCAATCATGAGTGCCCAGTGCAGCCTTGCTCATTGAAACACCTCAGGTGCTAAGCTAAAATCCAGTGAGGCAAACTAACCATGCCCAGCTTATGATGTAAAGCCATAATTTGAATATATCTCACTGAAAGCACTTTCCTTGCTCTCATAATTCCAAGTTACAGGAACACTTCCATAATTTATCAAGCAAATATTTTTGCACACTGTTCATCTGTCTTTATTCCAAATCTTAGACAAAACTTTCTGTTTCCCAGAACTCAGTTCTGGAAAATTTCAGATCCAAATAGTTTCAGACATATAAAATATTGTTGCGGTAGGAATTGTTATTGTGTCTTAGGTGTAGAGGATATGGGAAATGGAAGCCAGCACATTGAGAGCTTACCTGAGAGAGGATTTAGAAGCTGAAAAGCATCCTCAAATTTAGTCAGTGATCCATCATGCCTGTTTTCCCACACTAACCATATAAATAAATCTTCATATAATTTTTAAAGACTGATAAACACTGTGTTGGGACTGCTCAGAGAAGGCTGAAAAGTAAGATATGGCACGAGTGGTTTTTCAGTAGAAGTCAAATGACCAAAATAGTCCCTCAGGAGATGGGAGATGCTGTCCCACTAGGGAGGGTTCTATTTCTGTCTCTTCCAAGGACTACCATAGCTGCAAAACTGCACAGTCTCCCAACCTAGAACATTTTTTTTTTTTCATTTTTTCCCCCCAATGGAAAGCTATTCAACCAGTGCTAGAATGGACAGAAAGCAAACAGAACTAACCTTGGTGTGGAGTGGATGGGATTAGGAACTCAAGTAGAAGCTCCAGAAACATCCTTCCAAATTATTTCATGTTCCAAGTGCCCCCCAAATGCAATATCCTTATTTTCTTCATTCTATTTAGTGATTTTGTGTAGCTTCCCACACATACATCCATTCTGGATGACAGAAATGGCCCATAACAAAAGGCATACAGATACTGAAGGCTTCTCCAACATTTATTTATCATCATTATTGTCCCAAAATTAAATAATTTCAAAAAGTTTGAGAAAATTTTTGTTTAGTACATAGGGACTTACTGCTAATGAAGCACTGGTACCAGATGTAAGTTGAAAAATTGGGGTTTTTCTTCTTCTAAGGTAAAAGGGGTCAGGAGCAAAGGAATCTTTGTTTTAAACTCAGCTCCTTTTATTGAAGGCTGCATGGGCCTTTTCAAATTAAAATACATCAAATTTTTTTTTGTTCTACTTTTGAAAAAAAGGTATGAATACTATAATTTAATATTAATTAAAAATACAATTAAATATTTATTTTAATCTATTTTATAGTTTTACCCTTAGATATTTCCCCACAGATCAGTATATCCTCATGTAAGAGCCAGTCATTCAAGTGTGCATGCCTTTCTCAGGTTAATTATACCGGCATTTGATACATACATGGATCTTTCTCTCTTTGGGGATTCTAAGTAATTTCTAAGGGTGCTGCCAATTATATCTACAAGGAGCTCCAAGCCTAACTACCCAGATCATATCTAACACTTGGGAACTGGAAAAAAAATAGCTTTACTTAAATGGATGTTAGTATATGCCTGAAGAGGTACAAAATTCTTTTAATATATACTTTTAACATATTAATTTTCTGGTTTACAGCTGATGTCCTAATTATCCCCAGTTACCAATGGACTTAATAGGAGCAAACTTAGTCCAAAATTCCTGACTGACAGAGCCACAGATTAGAGGAAAGTATGGATTTCAGTTCAGAAATTTCTGATATATTCAGAAGAATTAGTGTTTATGTTAAGTTAATGCAATTATGTTAGATATTTCTTTGGCAATTTTAAGTTTCTTACCTTTTTGAGAGAGATCAGATGGAACATGGTAATTTCTTGAATTCTCTATTCACATGGTAATTTGGATTTATAACTGCAGATCTGTGCATTGCTGAGTGAAATTCCCCTCACAACTTTAAAAGGAATTGTTTGGAAGCTAATATGCTGATTGCCATGGAATCTCTGCAAGATTTGAAAACCAGCCCATTATTTTGGTTGCATATGCAGCTTAGAATATGTGGTTAAAGTGAAGTAGTTAAAGCAGTGTCTCCACAAGTTTTTAAAACATAAGTGTCCTTTTACTCTTGGTAAGTGCCACCTCCATATTCATGTATGCAAGGACTCGTGTTAACCCACAAAAGCATCAGATGTAAAGCCACAACAACACCACAATTATGGAAAAGAAACTTCAATAAATATATGATTGTTACATAAACTTTTATCTCCTCCTGCCATATACTAACCTGCTGTGGTCATAGACATATTTTATTTCATCAGCTGATCCCATTTCTCAAGACTGAATTCCTGAAAAATTGTTTTTTTCAAGTGAGCATATACAAGACCTAGGTAGCTAAACTACAAAACCATATGAAATCAAAAGACAGCTGACACATTAATGATTTCTTCATCTTTAATGAGGAATAAGTATATCCTGGGTTCAAGTCCAATTTTCAAAATGTGTCATGATTTTTTTGTGAATCCTCAGTGAGCTCAACACAAAAAATGAAGGATAAAATAAAACATAAAATGGCTAAAAGAAATGGTGTCACAGTGTAATAAATAAGCAGAAACAATTTACTTAGACATAAAACTTTCTTTTCCAACAAACTATGAATTCTAACTTAATGCTCCCATTGTCTTATTCTAATGACAAAATCTATTTCAAAACATTTCAGTATATTAAAATATTTACTCATTGTATTAAAACACCCTTTCTGTTTTACAAGCCAATTTAACAATTAATCTTCAAACTAATAGCAAATGTGTGAATTTATTATGCTACTTTTTTAACCTGTTTTATTTTCCTAGAAATATATTTTTTCAATATGGACAAGATGACAGTTATAATAGTTACCAATATTTTTACTGTTTTTTGATTTTTCCTGGAATTTTTATTTTTTTAACTTCATTACATCAGTACGAAAATCTTAAATTATTTTTTGAACTTGAATATAATATATATTTTTAATTTATAGAATATCCTTATCAGACAAGCATCCTCAGTGCAGTCAAAAAGAATGTGCTATAAATGATGCTTGGAATTGTCAAGGGAACAAGTTTTTATTTTAAGAATATATGGTAGTGCTGAAACTTTTTTTTTCTCACCAGCAGACAAGGAGCAGGGGAGCATATTTCTCATTTTAAGCTTCAAAGAGACTTCTTAGAATTGCTGTCTTTGAAGCACTCCCTCCACATCCTTCCCCATATTGGTCTCCAATCCAGAATAAAAAAACATTCCTCTCCTGATGTTGGAGCACTTTCTTCTAGGACTTTCATAACTTTCCTGTCAACAAATTACATAAAGTATCAGACAAATCCCTTGTAGATGGTTTCCATGAACCCAAGACACTAACTTTCACTGCATCTTAAAACTTATCTACAAAGCTCTGGTCTCAGCTACTACTTCACAAAACAACAAGCAACAGGAGACTCTTTAAAGAGTGGGAGAAAATCTTTTTTTCTAGATTCTTTTTAAGACTGATGATATATTTTTCCAGTTTATTGACATTAAAAGAGTTAAAACTAATCAAGTTTCCTCTGCCTCTGAACATTTGTTCCCAACTTTCTGATTTATTTAGTCAACTATTTTTGGTTGTAAAATTTTGGTAAGTAGCCATGAATCTGGTTTCAATTGTGTGTCCCAAAGTGACAGCAGTTGGGAAATCAGTCATTTCTGTGATGTGTCTGTGCCCCATGAGGGAATCATGACCTCACTGTGTCTATTTGCATGGGCCTCTTACACATTCTGTGGCAGCTCAGATCACTCAGATGTCTTGAGCTGTATGCCCAACCCCCAAGCCCAAAGTGGGAAAATTACTCCACAGCACTTTCAGTTTAGTTTTTCATCAGAGGTAGCTTATGACAAAAGAGGCCATCTTCTACACCAAAAAAAAAAATGGTGTTGATTTTATGATTTATCATTCTGTCTAACATATTCTATCTGTTTTTAATTATTACAACAAACACTTTCATTTAGGGAGACCATGACTGCCTTCTAGAAAACTAAGATTTCTGTCAGTTTTTTATATGATAAAACCAGTTTTCCATAATTTTTTAAAATTTATCTTGAATGGAAATGTGACAAATTTTGAATGTTTTAGGTGCAACAAAGAACAGATTTTCCTGAGAGCATTTGCTTACCTTCTTCCCATTCATCCCAAAAGCACTTTAAAAATATAAGAAACCTATTTTGAAATTTAGGGAAAAATTTCCATGTCTAACCTTAGAGATCTTAGCTTTTGGGAGGCACTATTTATACGCAGAGCATTAATGTGATTGACTGATGAGATAACATCACATAAAGAAGTTTCTCCAAACATTTGGAATTACAGGCACAATCACAGAATTATAGCTACAATATTGGAAAAGCCATATGCACAGATTTTTACATTTTGAACTATTAAGTCCTTTCTAGTGATGCTCAGAGTAGTGGTAGGAAGCTACACCATCAGCCAGAAGGAAAATAACTTCTGGCTAAGTACTAACACAGTTTGCACCATTTCTAAGTGAGCAACAGTTACATCAACAACAACAAAAAAAATAATCTTGAGTTGATAACAGTATAAACGAAGGAATAACATTTAATGGAAAACTAATTTGGAAAAATCCTGTCTCAGACTAACAGAACACTCATGATATTTAACAGATGTATTGTTGTATTAGCTTAAATTCTAACAGTAAGTTTTATTATCCTTACTCCATAAACAAGTATTTATTTTCATTTTTATTATGAATTTTCATGGCTTAAGACAACTTAGAAAAATCTTGATTTTGGGCTTGTTTCAGAACTATTGTATCAGCTGTAGCTATTTCTTTATATCTAGAGTTGTGTTCACTAAATCAGTTGTGGAGGTGGAACTACACCACTAAATCTGGCTTTGTGGTTTATCTCAGCAACCTCCCCATGATCTCAGAAGTCACTTAAAGCCTTACTCTGATATTTTTCCAGGTTTAGATGTGCAAAATCCTCAGATGTCTAAATAGTTTACTTTATGGGACACCATAAGCTGCACACCAGCTCCCTTGACCACTTCAGACAAAAAACATTGTAAACCCTGCCCAAATCCTATTGACATTTTTCTCTGCCATCATTTTAGCTCTGCCTAAATGTCTATAACATTTGTCCAAGCCTTGCAGATAAAGGACAGTGCAAACACACAGACAAGAGCAATGGATATAAGGCAAGTCTAGAGTTTTTGAACTAAAATTTAATAAATTAAATTAAAGCATTTATGAAACTAGAAAGGGAGAGAAAAGCTAAATTGGTTGCTAAGAACAAGGTAGACATACTGGTCCAGTAAGGCCAGGTTCCAGCAAAGGGGAACTGAAGGGCTGAGGGAAGCATGTGAGGAAAGTCCTGAGACATTTAGCTATTAAGATTTCATATATAAACCAACAAGTTCTTGGAAAGCATGAGGATAAAAGGCCACAAGGTATGAAATATTTCAACTTGTGAGTTAGTCTTGGCATTCCTCATTACATTTTCCTGTTTAATGAGCTTTGAATTCCAAAGAAATGCAAAAATGCTTTTGGAGGATATGGAAAAGTGTTTACAAGCTTCTTCATGAACTGGAAAATCTGTATGATTTTTCCCTTTGCAAGCAGGACTTCAAGCTACATGTGGTTGATAGTACCTAAAGGTAAACGTACATCTGGCACTCACCACAGGCATCTAGGGGTTTCTAATTGCTATCAGTCCTCAGTGTTTCCCAGAACAATGTCTTGTGGGCATCATGCTGCAGAGAAGTTGTTGGAAGCAGAGAGCAGCTGTACACTCAGAGCACTTCTGCGAGACTGAGTTTTGAGAATTTCAATATAAACACAATATTTTGTTCAGGAGAAACAGAAAAAGGTGTTCATGGGTGAACACGGGGGAGACCTGCAGCAAGCAAGTATTAATGAGCATCTTGCATGCCTAAGGCTGCCCAGCTGTCCATGGCAAGCCAAACAGATATTGTGCATGACTCTTTGCCCTGGGAATATTGTTCTAGATAAGAGGAATGGGATGAAAACAGAGTTGATTAAATGAACTTTAGCTGTCTAATTTATGAAACTCACAATGAAGACATTTATAAGTCCCCATATATTCCATTTTTAGCTTTTCTCAGGTAATCTAACATACAGTATACAAGACAAATGCTAAGTGTGTTAGTCTCTCTGCTTTATTTTTTGCTGTGAAGGAATATAAAGGTTCTTCTAATTCACTTAACCCTCCAAGTAAACAATATCTTATTTATCAACAGGTCCTCTTCTCTTCTAGGGTTTAGTTATATTAATCCATAGCCTGCAGAAGAATTAAATGTAGCCAGTGCACCAAAGCAAGACACCCAGGTTGGTTTCCACCATCAGTACAAGAACTTAAGAACTTTCTCTCCCTTCCTTCTTCAGCTTCACAGTAAATTTAATAGTCTCTTCTGCCCTACACTAGGTAGGAGAAACAGTGATAGTAAGAATGTGCATCCCATCCACACTTATGTGGCAATCAGAAACAAGCCACCATGTCACAAGCAGCTGAAAAGCCACCACAACTTTGTCATAAGTGGCAGGATTGCAGTCCAGTCAACCCTGACTGCCCTTAAAGCAGCTCTATGACAATTCAAGCTCCATTTCTGCTGCCCTACAGGATGTGTGCCTTAGTTTGTCCCATTTCTTACCTTATGTGTATTTAAAGCATCACACTACACACATTAGAAAGTCCCCAGAGTTAGAAAACGTTCAAATGTCAGGAGTGAGGAAAGATTTCAGTCACTGCTCTTAAGCCTACTTACCTAAAGGCTGGAGATTTGTCACTTCTTCTAAAGAACCATGCTTTACATCAGTCATATTCTTTTTCCTTGGAATTCCTTTCAGCTGGCATGAAATACTATTCTAAATGATTCTGCTGTTGTGCTTATTATATTTTAAGAGTTCTTTTAAAATATTCAGAAGAAAAACTACAACAGACTAGAGGCTGAAAAGATATAAGCTAAATCTGACAAATCAGATTTAATCAACATCCAGATTTTTCTTCAAAATAATTAATGACATCAGGCAACTAGTGAATATTTCTGTTGAACAAGGTACATTAAACAAAATTTTCAGCCTGAAATTTGGAAACAAAATTTCTTGTCCTTTCTTTTCAAGATGACTAGGATAATTAATCTACCTAAAATTAAACTGGCTATATAATAATCCCTTTTTAGTCCGTCTTTGTAGCCTTTTTAAGCCATGGACAGATTTCACACACATTTAACATTAAGCTGATATCTCAAGCACAATAAAATTCCTAAAGACTAAGGAAATGAACAGCTTGATGAGGGTGTGAAAAGTAGTGTGATTAATTGTGTTGAGACTGAAGGAGAAGTTCAGCCACCATCAGATAAGCCATCAGTAATGATTAACCTGCCAATTAGCCCTGCATTCACTGATCAGATGCAGCACCACAGCTGATTCTTGCTCAGTGAAAGTGTTAGGGAGACTTGAGAAGGCACAAGGTGTATTGCAAAGCAGAAGAGACTTTGAGCTCAACCCCACTGCAAACTCTGTTTTCTTAGTATAGTGCTTGTAAATATATTGCTCATGAGACTGGTCTCAATGAGCAAAGCTGAGAGAACAAAAACTAAAACAATAGCAGAAAAAAAAATTAAAAAATTGGATATTATTTTGATATAAACTATAATATTTGCACTATTTTCATTCAGAAGTAAGAAGACTCATTTGTTTTAGTATGACCCAAGCCAAATATTTCTTCCAATTTTTCCCTTTGTCTACAGAAGCAGTTATTCAAACAAGAGATAAGTGCATTATGCAGCTGCCAACTATGCATAGGGAGCCATGTCAGACACTCTGCCATGAAGTCCAAGGCTGCAGTTATGAGCAGAATGTTTGCAAGGGACACTGCACACAGCAGTGGGACAGCAGCTGGGCCACACTGTTCCTGTGCCACTGTACCAGACATTGCTGAAATAATAATTTGATATTAAAGACATGTTATATTAATAGCAAAGTATATATGAAGCAATTCAGGCGTCCAGGTATTATCTTTATAGAACAAAAAGTTTTCGTTTTCTTCCTGGGTTTTTCTCTTTCTTCCCATTTGCAGGTTTGGGAAAGTTCACAGAATTACAAGATTACAGAAAATTCAGTGACCATAAGGATATCAAGATGATATAAGTATAAATAAGAATAATATTTTTTTTCCACCCAAATTAGCTCATATTGCCATTATTATTTACTGTGGATATAAAATGAGCTCTACATTCATGCTACTTACGGTACAATGCTGGCTGTAGTCCAGAAATGGCATTAAGTTATTGTGTCTTCAAAGAGATTTTGATGCATAGATAATTTCATAATCACACCAAAAGAGTATAGCAATTGGACATAAAAACTGTACAGGCCACCTGTAATTAGAAATGGAAATGGCAATTAGGTTGTGTTAGATATTTTTGCCAATTTGCATGCATGATAGTCAAATTTTTAACTTTAGGCTGAGTATTATCAGGCTAAGAATGGAAATTGTATTTGGATTTTGGACTTTTGATATGACACATATGTCAAGCGATCCTTAAAATGCAAAGTTTTGCATTTTCCTACCAGATAAGCATTATAAAGTTTTCTAAGAAGGAATGCATTCATTCAGTTGTACTTTAAACACCTTGCAGCAGGGAAAATTTCATCTTACATATAATGACATAAAATTTCCTGTTACATGTTTGTTATATGTATGCTGTCAACTTCCTTTGCAGCAGTGTTAATAACCATTGGTACAATTCCATTCCGACTTTTTTCTTCCAGCCACTGAAGCCTTTGTCCCAGATTGTATCCTATATCAAGGTGTTAATTTCAGAGTTATTATCTTTAGTTTAAAAATCAATCAGTTATTTCTACTTCAAGTGTTGTTTCACTTTATGTTCTTCTCCTTGGCTATGTACAATAAACGGCTCTAAAGACTGAGATGTTAAAACAATGTCAGACTGAGCTAAGTTGATTTCTTCAGAAATCTGTGTATTTCTCTGTTTGCCTAGCTAGTGAGCTTTGTCATTTTATGCATATGAGGAGAGAAGTCAAAGGGGTTTTAAAAAGTCTTTAAAGATTGAAGCACTATTTTTGAACATCTGTAATCTCCAAGCAATTCTCTCTAAATAGAAGTGTTTTGCACAAGAAATGGCTGCTGCAAAGTCCTCTGAAATAGCAGAAGAAGATTAACTAGCTGTTAAAATTCCAGACTCTACTTAATGGAAAACATGGATATCACAATATTCAGCTAAGCCAAAAGCCTAAAACTAGAAATATACATTCTCTTTTTGAAGTATAAATTCTGAGTATGCAGTCAATGTGATCTGAGCTAACAATACTCTTTTAGATTCACCCAGACACAGTAAAATCAACTTTACCCCATAGAGGATTATTAAAGTAATTCTGAATTAGAGTTGTAGGTGACACCTGTTGGGATGAAAGTATCAAAAGCTACATGCCAGTGAAAGTATCATGTTCCTATCTTAAGCCATGTAAAAAAAATATTTTTAGAAAAAATCCCACTGTTATTTCCTGCAATATAATTTTAATAGAAAAATTTAATGGAAATAGTTTTCCCTCACCAGTCAGCAATTGATGCTACATTGAAATTATTAACCTTAATTCATATTTTTATAGTGTCACACATCTGATCATAATATAGCTATATAATATATAGTATGATTTTATGGTAAAAAAAAACCACACAGAATGCCAAGATAGTCCTGTCTCATTAAAATTAAATGTAATAAAATAAGAATGAAATACATGTTGGAATGTTTCATTGCTATTATTTGTATATTTATCCTTAGTCTTAGTTGGCCAGCTGTTTTCTCTAGATCAATTGTCTGTATTAATCTAGTGAGAATTACTAAGAATTTAGGTAAAACATCTTTATTTTTACCTTGCTCTTCTTCACATTTATTCTAAGAAATGGGACATGTAAAATTTTATATCAATTTTTCTATTATCACACTTCTCAGAACTGATTTGGACAGAGTTATGCTGTTTGGCACCAGTTCAAACATGGGAATATCCTTCTTTCTATGTAAATAGGTATAACCTTGGAAGGATTTATCGATGACAACATATCACCTTTCTATGTTTTTCCTGTAGGAAAAAATTATGCACCATGCCAATGCCAAAGGAGCTGTAAAACTTCCCATATGGTTTTAACTATACAGAATTCTTAAAATACAATGATATATTTTCTTGACTATAAGCCATTTAAATGGAATCTATTTAGAATGTCTTATTAATTTTTCATTCTGGTTATAGTCTCATTGGTCTTGTTTTAAAAACTTTTCTCCAAAATAGTAAAAATCCCAGCCTGTTTTTAATTTGCTGCTAGGTTTTTTTCTCTTTTACCTCACACAGGACAAAGCCTCAAGCCTCCATTAAATGTTGATTTGACAGGGAAATGAATAATGTTTTTTATCTCCATCTTTAGAAATGCAGTGATAAATTTATGGTAAATGTCAGTCTGTTCTGAAATGCAGCCATAGTGCACCAAGATAAAAAATCTGCTTGCTAAGGAAAAATTATTAACAGACCATGAGAGAACAGAATATAACAAAAAAAGAAGAAGAATAAAAATAGAATTGGAATCTCATTTCACATCTTCTCATTACAGTTCAATTTTAAACATATTATATAAGTTCTGGTACATAACTGAAAACCCCTAAACTTTCTAATTGTTAACTCTTAACAGGCAGTAATTCAGACAAAAATGTATGTATAATTAAATAATTTAGTTTAGTATTTCACATTAAAACCATGTCCTTTGTATCACAAATATGTATCATAAATTTGCTTATGTCTCATAACAGTTCAACAGCAAGAACTGAACAGTTAAAGCAAGTAGCTGGGAGATCATGAGTCTGTTTTGAAATACAACACTCTATAAATGTAGGTAGTTTTTTAACAATATCAAATTTTGATTGATCAGAAAGTACCTTTTAAAATACAACACATTAGAAACATTTTTTCTAAAACTATTTCATTAAAATTTGAAGAGCACAATGAAATGTGACATGGTATATTCATAGAAACATAGAATGCCAGGTTGAAACACACTTCAAGGATCATCTGGTCCAATCTTTTCTGTCAAAACCATGGTCTAGACAAGATGGTTTAGCATCCTGAATAGACATATCTTAGAAGAGTGCAACGTTGGATAATCCACCATTTCTGCAGGGGAGGTTATTGCTGACTGTGAAAAATTCTCCTGTTGTGTTCAATCAGAATCTCCCCAGGAGTAATTGACAATTAATGAAAGGTGGTTTAAAGGGATTTTGTTACAACCCTGCTCTTAAAAGTGTTACCTTTAGCTTTAACCATTCTGCCAATTCTAGTCTTGTTAAAGCAGATCTGCATAGAGGAGAGGTTGATATTTGTAGCTGAAAACAGGGCTAAAGTTTCCATGACCTTGACAGAAGGCTCCTTCTCTCTCAAAAATGTCAGTGTCTAGAGGAAATGGTGAGATTTTCTGAATCTTGTGTAGAAATTAGAGAACTCTGCAGGCCCAAATTGAGCTGGGACTGTCATAAGAATGTGCTGAAAAGAAGTAAAATGTTTCCCAGTTTCTGGATCTATACCAGCAGCCTCTGAAGCATCTGTCAGAGGAAGCAAAAAGCTCTATTAACACTAGCTAAGGAATAATATGAGGAAAGTTGTAGCCTCAAGGATGGTGTGAAGCTGTCAGCTTGGACACCTGTCCTAAGAACATACTCCATGACTTATAGGACATATTCTTACTCCTCTGTACCAGGTTGTGATTCACAGAAGATAATTCTGTCTTTAAGAGCAATTGTTCATATTATCTATAAGAAATAAAGTGCAAGAAATTACTTTTTCTGTTATTTCCAAAGTCAAGGATTGTTGGACAGCTTTGACCCATGCTATAAGTGACCTGATTGCAGTCTGGAGAGGAGCAGATACATCTCTGTTGAGCCTCATTTTATCTATTTTAGAAGTTCATTCCAGAATAAGACTTCTGTGATAGTCCAGGACAAAACTCCAGGCAGACATTATAAAAGTCAGAGGCCTCTTAAAGTGATAGGGCGAGTCCCACATTTTACAGGGCA